GCCGGGGCAGGGGGTGGAGCTGGCAATTGGACAGGTCTGGGGGTCCCCTGCCCAGGCCTGTCGCCTCTGGCCAAAGCATCAGGCCTGGGCGAGGGGCCAATCCGGCGATTGGAGGGAGATAGGAGTCGATGCTTCTGGCTGAGGCTTCAGGCCTGGGTGAGAGTGGAGCCCACGATGGGAGGGAGATGGGGGTCCCCTGACCAAGGGCATGTACCTAGGTTGCAGGCTCCTCCATGGCCGGGGCCCAGGTCAGGGATCATGAAGGAGGCAACTAATCAAAGTGTTCCTCTCGTTTTGATGTTTCTCTCTGTCTTTCCCTTTCTCTTCCACATTCTCTAAAAATCAATGGAAACATATCCTCAGGTGCAGATAAAAAAAATAATAAAGAAATGTCATATCCTATAAAAGACACATCTTGAAAATGCCTAATGAAAGTTGTCATTTTTTCATGGTGAAGGGACTGGAGTCTGTGTTGATGAAAACACCTTGGTGGTTGCGGTGACTGACAGTGGCTGCAGCAGTGGTGTGATGGGGCTGGTGCCTTCCCCTGATCAGCCTGGTTGCCTCCCACAAAGGGAGGCCAGACTACAGCTTAGGCCCGCTCCCCAAGGGGAGCAGGGAGCGGGCTGGAGGGTGATGGGGGTCAACGCCTGAGGGCTCCTAGTATGTGAGAGGGGGCAGACTGGGCTGAGGGACACCCCTCCCCCCCCACACACACACACCCAGTGCACGAATTTCGTGCACCGGGCCCCTAGTTTAATAATAAAAAATCTCTACCTCCAAAACCTGGTATAATATATTGGCGGGGAAGAGGGGAATCTTCTGTGTCTCTGAGTTCTGCCTCATGTTTTCATTCTTTGAACAAACTAGGACCCAGAGGCTGTGTTTCATACTATAAAGTCACTCCTCTCAGAAAGCTCTAACACAGTGGTTCTCCACCTATGGGTCGAGACTCCTTTGGAGATCGAACGACCCTTTCACAGGGGTCGCCTAAGAACATCGGAAAACACATATAAATTACATATTGTTTTTGTGATTAATCACTATGCTTTAATTATGTTCAATTTGTAACAATGAAATTGAGGGTCACCACAACATGAGGAACTGTATTAAAGTGTTGCGGCATTAGGAAGGTGGAGAACCACTGCTCTAACAGCCTTGGGCAGGTATTAATAAAAGTCATTTAAACATTTTAAAGAGCACTCTAACAGAATGCAATAGAACACAAAGGGAGCAACTTCTGAAAAGAACTAAGAAAGTTTCATATATGAATATTTGAGTTTGACCACAAAAGCAAGTGGGATTTTTCTCATCTCTCCTTGCGCAGCGGTTCTTAACCTTGGCTGCACATTAGAATCACCTGGGAATCTTTTTTAAATCCTGATTTCTTGGCCTCATCTTCCGGAAATTCTGTTTCTTTGTTACTAATGTTGTGGCCTCACCCCATAACAAAGAAACAGAATTTCTGGAGGATGAGGCCCAGAAATCAGGATTTTAAAAAGATTCCCAGGTGATTCTAATGTGCAGCCAAGGTTGAAAACCACTGTTCTAGAGATTTAGGTTATAGAGATCATTCAAAAGATGCGAGGGAAGAAAGAAGATTTGGTAAAATCAAGAGGGCTGTGGAAACAAATGGATGAGGTCTTCATCAAATAGATAACCAGGTTTTAAGGTTTCTGAAAACTTCCAGCAATGATGGTGTCATTCCCCAAAGAATATTAAAAGAAATCATATGTTAATGGGAAAATTAATTGTAAAATGTGATTTGTAACACTTGAAGCAAATAAGCTAGTAGGTTTTTGTACTCTAAGTTATTTGGTTGCTAACTGATAGCAAGAACAATTCCTAGGACTTTGATCAAGTATGCACTGACTTGAAATTGTTGTCTCATAGTGTTATCTTCTCTCTCTTCCTAAACATAAATACCTTAAGGCAGCGGTTCTCAACCTGTGGGTCGCGACCCCTTTGGGGGTAAGAATGACCCTTTCACAGGGCTCGCCTAAGACCATCGGAAAATACATATATAATTAAATATTGTTTTTGTGATTAATCACTATGCTTTAATTATGTTCAATTTGTAACAATGAAAATACATCCTGCATATCAGATATTTATATTACTATTCATAACAGTAGCAAAACTACAGTTATGAAGTGACAACGAAAATAATTTTATGGTTGGGGGTCACCACAACATGAGGAATTGTATTAAAGGGTCGCGGCATTAGGAAGGTTGAGAACCACTGCCTTAAGGGCAAGGTGCATATTTTCTTCTTTAGCTCCCTTAGGGCTTCACACAATGCCATTCAAAGTGGATACTTTGTAATTCTGAATTCTGTGAAGTTAAGAATCTATCAAGTTAAGAGATCATTCTAGCCACCATCAATCTCAACTTTCTCTGCAACTAAAAGAAATATGTCTTTATGAGAATGTTTTATTTAAGTTTATTAAAGCTAATCAAAAAAATTTTAATGTAAATAATATGCTAACCTGGAGAGCATGACTCATTTTGTGACACAGCTTCAGACTCATCTTTTTCACCTGAAATATCCTCTTCATCAGAGAGGACCAAAAAGGCTTCTTTTGGCAAACTCTCACTACTTTCTTGTTTAGATGGTGAACCAAAAGAACTTTCCATCTTCTCTTCCAAATCTGGATTTGTTTCATCAATTGGAAGAAGACAAGTTTTAGAAAAGCAAGTAAGTTCATCTTCAGCAGGTGCAAGCTTTTCCAAAATAGGAATAATTTCATCTGTCTCCATAGAATCTGTACTTTCTAATATATTCTCATTTTTGTCATCTTTTATAACATTTTCACTAATGGTTTCTGCAAGGTCTGCAGAATTTTCACCTTCATTCTTTTCACTTTGGTCAATTTCCATACTGCTAGATATATCCTCCTCTCCAAGAACAGGTTCTGTGACAGCATCTTCCTCTACCTTTTCATTTTCAGGAGGTGTAGCTGAACAAACGATTGTATCACCTGCTTCTAGAGTTTCTTCAGCAGCATCAATATTACTATCAGCTTTTTTACTCTTTTCAAATGAGAAAATTTCATCTAACTTTTCATCATCCCCATTTTGTTCAAGAAAATCATCACCTTTATTGCTACTAGGTTCTGTTTTGTCAGTGTCAGGAACTGGCACACAAACTGGTACAGAACTCGATTCAAAAGTGGAATCGAAGGCAGATTCAGAAGTTGGTTTATCAGCAATTGGTTCATCAGAGATCAGATCACCAGAGGCCAGATCACCAGAGACCTGGTCACCAGAAGTCAGATCACCGCAGGCTGGACCACCAGAAGCCAGATCACCAGAAGCTGCATCATCAGAGGCCAGTGTTCCAGAGGCCAGATCATCAGAAGCTGAACTATCAGAGACTGGATCACTGGAGACTGGGTCACTGGAGACCAGTTCACCAGGGACTGGTTCACTGGAGACCAGTTCACCAGGGACTGGCTCCCCAGACATCAGTTCACCAGCAACCAGCTCACTGGAGGGTTGACTGGCAGCCATAT